CTCTTTTATGTTGTACATTCGTACCACCCTGCTTTGGCGTGCTTTATCAGCAAAAAGTATATTTTTAGAGAACACCGTTGGTCTAGATTTATCCCACATTGTTGTCCAAATGTCGTCCATATCCCTTGTCAGGGCATCTACATCCGGCATACTGGGCAACTGATTAAGGTACGGAATCCCCCTTGAATGAAAGGGCACATGTGACTCGTACACTCTTGGGTCTAACGGGAGGTGGAGTCTGCATATATGGAGCATGCTCATTGGTGGCATCAGGTTCATCATGTGCTTCCTCGGCAAATCAGGTTCATCATTCTCATTCTCATCCTCATCACCCTCATCAAGGAAGGGCGTGTCATCTCCAAACTCATCAGCATTATTGTCATAATCACTATCATCTTCCTCACTCTGTGCATCTGTCAGATCCTGATTAAATATATCGTCTTCGGGCAATTGCGTAAGGACAGGACCTTTAAGTTGCTCGTTTTCACTGCACAACCAATAAAATAATGAGTTTCTCAAATTCATCCAAACATTACATATAAATGTTATCACTTAACTTACAAATCATAATCTGTTGATATCCCATGATGCACATTATCCTGTTGTTGATGACTCCCGGATGGACCATCATGATCCAACACACCAAAACTGGGCAAATTCCAACTGTCCGTTGGTTCATAACTTCTAAAATTCATATCTGGCCGGTACCCCTTTTGGAATATATGAGTGTTAATACAAATATAATACATAAAAAAATATAGTAATACAAAGAAAAATTAAAATTTACCACTCGGCTTGTGAATTATGTAAACTCGAGGAAAAATTATGTCCTCGCTCCTCATTCGCCTGTGGAGATAAGTTTAGATTTGGACAAACTCTTTCAAACGGAACCTGTTCGGATAAAACTGCTCCAAAAAACCATCCGATGATTGAGGGTTATCCCTATTTTGCGGAACCTCAATATTGCGAACGTTTTCAGACTTGACGTACATTTCCAATAATTTTATCACAAGAAGTTCCCGGTGTTCATCCGGAGTCCTCAAAAAATATGTCAGAGTTTCATCATCTTCGATATTAAACTCATCATAACAAGTAACCCCTTACGGAGTAACAGAATACGGATATCTTCCGGTTACTTTAATATTAACCGAACGTTTTCTCACACTCATTTTTTTACATAACAATGAAACCAATCTATCGTACTCCATTGTAAGTTGCAACTTAACAATACACTGTGGGGAGCAACTATAGCATACTAAGTTATTCTCCACCACAACCTCACCCTCCCAATATAATGCAACCCTAATTTTTTGCTTTTCGGACATTATGACAAAATGCAAAATAAGTTAAGCAAACAAATATTTCGGAAGACCTTGAGGATCCTGAATGGATTTTTACCGAAACAATGAAACTCCTTAAATAAGCAAAAAAATCAGTCTGGGGTACAATAATTGAGGGTATAGGGTTTAGTAAAGCCTCAATTATTGGTGGATCATTAAAGTTCAAATCAATTATTAGTGGGTCAGTAAAGTTTAAATATAGCGCATGGATTGCATGCGCTATACCTTAACGGACAAACGTGTCGTTAAGGTATAGCGCATTCAACATATGCGTTATATATAAATTGGTCATCAGTTGAATTTTTCACCTATTTTTGTGCTTTGAGTCCAAAAAAGCAATACTTTGGTTCCGGACTCTCAAAATACCTCTTGATTACGTATATGGATTATAAACTGATTGATATGAAATCAAGAGGTATTCCCTTGTATGCGTCAAATTACGTCTACATTTGTGCAATGGAGGAATTTTTCAGCCCCACGTTATTTCAGTGAATGAAAATATATGTAGTACATGTTTACCAACAGTAGAAATGGCACTGCTAAACTCTTCAAAATGAGACCTGTACATTTCGTATAGAATGTTGAAGAAGAAAGAGAGAATAGATCTTTTTAATTTGGGTAACTGAAAAGAGACGAAAGAAAATGAAAGATAATATTTTCATTTAGGTAACTGGATAGGAAATCCCTAAATTGTAACCTTATCCAAATGATCAACGTGTATTACGGTTAATTGGCTGGAAACAAAAAAATACGAATTCTAAAAGTAAAATGAGGCTATTTAAGTTTATATCCTAAATGGGCTGCTAGTCCAGCTAATTGTTGTTGAATATTCGGGCAATGTGCCCAGATACCCACTTTTGAGGCACTCGCATTGCATAAAATTTTACAAAGTTTACCCACCAGAATTTGAGTTATATATTTTCAATATAGCTTCAGAATCGGTCCGAAATTCTTTTATCTTTCCAATGCAATTTTAGAAAATGGAATCTTAAGTTATTTTATTTTTCCGACGTTACTTCAGAAAATTTAAATTTTAAATAGTTCTATCTTTTCAATGCAACTTCAAGAATTAGATCTTAAGTTCTGAAACATAAAGTTATTCTTCAAATTCAACAATCCAACACACGATTCAACCCCAAATCTACTCTAAATGAGCTCTAATTTGAAACATAACTTTCAAGTATCATAAAGAACAAATCTCAACCATCAAACTGTCAAAACAATAACAAATCTAACAAACATATTTTGCAACTAAGAAGAACAAGAACAAGAAACCATAAGCACAACCTACAATAATGTTTTACAACTAAAACGAATAAGAGGAAATCAAACGGCTCCCGGATACATGGGACGTAAATATAGAAAATAAGCAGAAAGCAATAACGAAACTCTTGAATACACGGGACACGAAAGAAAGTTACAGCGAAGAAAAAGAGAAAGGTATATCAATTGGGGTATTAAAATGACTATAAATTAAATGGGAGTGACCAAATAGGGCGCCTCATGAAATGTTTGCTGAATATTCTCTCGAGGAAGTATATTCTTCTTTATTTTATGCCCTTCAGAAAGGCAAAATGGCCTCCGGGCCATCTAAACTTGTACACATTTGTCAACCCAATAAATAAACTAACAAGTTTTTATTTGAACACTTGTACTTGGAAAAATGAATACTAATAAATACCTTCGACCATTGATCATGCTTATGTGATAATCACTTAAATACGTGCAAATCACTATAGAAAGTCGTGTGATTATAACAGTTTTGATTAAGAAAATATTAAAAATGAAAAAAGAAAGCAAATAAAAAGGAGAAACAAAGAAAAATTTTTTGCAAAAGCTGAAAACTCACTCACCCCACGCCCTCCCTTCCCCTCTTTCTTCCTTCACCCTTTCACTTTGTTGTTGCCCCGATTCCCTTCCCCTCCCACTTTCTTTTCTCGTCTCTCCTCCTACTCCCCCCCCCCCCCAAACCCACCCTATCATGACCACAATTCAAATAGGAAAAGAAAAATGTTGGTTAGAAAAAAATAAAGAATAAAATTTCAATTTTGAGAAAATCATTAATTGAGTGTTGAAGATTGAAAATATTAGAGATGATTATGAATGTTTCTCTAAAATTTCTGTTCAGAAAACATAAAAGGAAGAAGTAGAATTGGGGGATGTTGGTTTCTAAGCTAAAATATCTAAGTATCGGTGATCTCCCATTTAAGATTGTTGGGAATTTTTCTTCTTCTTTTTACTAATTTGTATGGAGATTTTTAAAGATAATTTTGGAAAAGATAATGGAAGACAGTTTTTTTTTTACTTATTCATCCGGATTTTGGGGTTTTACTGATTTTGTTCGTGTTTTGTTACTTTTTTTATTGATTTGGGAGTTTTAGAGTAGAGAAGGATGGTGTTTATGGTTGATTTTGAGGCATTTTAGAGTGGATGTGGTGGTATTCAAGATGGATAAAACATATAGTGCAGGTACTACCATGGTGAAGAAGAATAAGAGAAAGGAAAATGTTTTAATTTTTTTTTAATAATTTGGTAAAACGTGATTGGGACCTACATAATACTAAGAATATGATGTGTCAGTAATCATTCGGTCAAGTACACTTGTTCAAATGAGAAACTTATAAGTTTATTTATTAGATTGGCAAACGGGTACAAGTTTAAGTGGCCCACAGGTCATTTTGCCTTTCAGAAAAGGAAGAAATTCAAAAATAGCCAGATTTACAAGTGATCATTCAAAAATAATCACACTTTCAAAAGTAATCGAAATTTAGCCACTTTTCATGTAAAGATAAATCTGAACGAAAACACTGTTCAAAATCCGAAAAATACTCCAATATATTATACTGGAGTTTCAGCATAAGTATACTGGAACTCCAACATAATATAATGGAGTTCCAGCATAAGTATACCGGTCCAGTATAATATGCTGGAAGTTCATACACATGTGCTCGAATCTCCAGTATATTATGCTAGAACTTTCCGCGTGTTGGAGTTCCAGCATAATATGCTGGAAGTTCATACACAGGTGCACCGAACTCCAGTATATTATGCTGGACCGGTCTCTGTTGCAGCAAAATAGTGACTATTTTTTAATGACTTGGCAAACGCCAACTATTTTTGAATAATCAGTCCAAAAACTGACTAGCCCGTGTTATTTTTACTTCAGAAAATCATGTGAAGTTGTAACTTGTAAGTATTAAGTTTTATCTTCCTTTTTCCTAAAAGAAAGCCTTATCTTCCTTCTTTTTGTGATGTTTTTCTCGTGATTGATCTCTTTTGTAATTGAAAGTGAATTTCAATCTATAGAGAACATGTATAGTAGCAAAAAAGGCTTGTTTAGATTAATATAATCCCTACATTTTGTGGATATTATATTTGATTACTATTTTATTTAAACTTTATATTTTATTGAATTTTAAACGAAAATAAAGATACACATAACTTAACAAAAACTTTCTATGTAGATTCAAATATCTTAAATCTTAATCTTAAAAAACAAAACAAAGAAACAACTGTAAGAGTACTTTCACCGCTCTGCTCTGGCAAAAATGAGCAATGCCAAGGTATCCAGAGATTGGGGGAAAAAAATGAAAATATAGCTCTCATAATCATAGATAGCATCTAATTTATCCAACCATAAACAATAGTCAAAAAAACGAGTTGCACCAGAAAAATATATTATAGTCAATCTTAAGATATGAATTCTAATATAAAACCAGCTAAAATTTTCAATTAGAGTACAAAATGAGGAAAAATGATGAAATACTAGGAAAAATCTTTGAGTATAATTAGTTATATCAGATCACTGACAAGGGTTTCTTAGAAACATCCTTCATCAACATACTGAATTCTATTACCCAAAAAAATATTATACTATGGTACTCTCAAGCTTGCTTAATGTAAAACAAGAAACGAAAAATGAAGAGTTAGTTTTTGAACAAAATCACTGCATTCCTTGAGCGTCTTTGCGCCATTAATAAACTTTCAGCCACAAACTCATCTGATGCATCACGAATCGAGGAGTTCTGGTGTCCAGATCTCCATTCAATAATCATCTCCTCAAGGTTAGCACATATCAAAAGAAGATCGCGCAGGAACAGGACTTCTTGACCAGAACGCATTCCTTCAAAGCAACAAATCCTAATCTTTTTAAGGTGAAGACCACAATCTTTAGAAAGCATAGACAGTTGACACCTTCCTCCAACAGAGTAAACATCATATGCAAGTGGAATAAAGCAAGTCTGCAAATGGAAATTCTGTTAGAGCAAAGATCACCAGTCCATATTAAGAGCACTACGTGGGTTAAGAACAATGACTTCTATTTAAAAAACCCATCCATATATTTTGGCCTAAGGAATAGGGCGGGAGGATATCTGGGTAGTAGGCAAGATAAAATAAAAGAGTCAAGAGGCAGATTCAAGATTTAATCTTAGTGGGTTCAAGGGTTTGAGTTCTTTGAGACTACTAGTTCAATATCTATAATATTCTTAAGGAGTTTTCACATAAAGATATTTATGGTATAAGCCAAAAATGGTCTGTCCGATTGAACCCTTATTCAGAACTATAATTCCGCCCCATCCTGATTATATACTTTCAAAATGTTAACTATAACATATACACTGTAAGGAGAGAGCATTTGAAATTTTGAATATATCCGCTACAATTTACCAATTGAATGGATGCATTGCATTATTAAGTGAAAAACAAGGTATGAGAGTAGCAAATGCTTCAGACAGAAAACAAACCTCAAACTCGAAGTAGGGTGGGGCCATATGTATGATTAACATCCGAAGGTTGGATGAACTTTGTAGTATGCGTACAATGCCAGGGAGATACCGCTCCTGGATGGGAGTATGCAGTGTCAAACACTCATAACTGCTCATGGAAAACGGCAAACTTTTCATAGGCCAAGACGACATAACCTTCAAGATGGATGAAAATAAATCCAATTAGCAACATATCCAACCGTCCAGCAAAAATATAATAGTCTGTTTATATCTCCAAACACAAAAATTAAACAAATAGTAGTATATATCTAACCTTCTGAAATACCAGAATGACCGATTACTAAAGTTTATTATCAAAGAATGTAATGCTACACCGTCCATTTTGCGACACTAGACACTAATAAGCAAATTAGGCAAGCATTGATATATTAATATTCCAAACATCCCAAGTATCAGAAGTCAGGAGACTAAGTACAATATTGCTTGAGACACATGAACCAAATAGTACACTTCCAACATAAAGGATCAATTAGGTTAACTTTGCTAACTTAATTGATTCTTTATGTTGGAAGTGTACGCAGACCTTACCCCTACAATGACAGTAGAAGGGCTGTTTCCAATATACCCTCGGCACGAGAAAACTGAGAAAAGAGCAGTAGCAATAAGCGAACAAAAATACCAACTCCTTGATGCAATATGTGCATTAAACAAGCAAAAAGTTTGCAGTATATCCATATTAGAGAATCATTCAATCAAGGAACAAAACACACAGTTAAGCTCAAACTAATCATTTAAAAAAGACAACTTTTTATGCTCCAAGACCAACACTTGCAAATAAAAATTAAAAAAAAATTCAAACAAAAAGCACAAACCTCAATGCACCATGTCCCTAACATAACATCCTTTACATGCCTTAAACTCCCAATCATGCCCACCAACATATCAACATAGTTGACACGCTCCTCATCCTTAGTAAACTGAAAATCAAGCTTAACAGAAACACAACTCATCACATTCTTCAACTGAATATTATTCATTCTTCTAAAACATCCATTTAACTCCAACACCTTAACACAAGGTGCTTCTATTTCCACTACTTCAAAATCCAATAACATACTATTCTTCTTTATTGCTTCCCCATTATACCCATTCACCACCAATTTACTCACTTTCCCACCTACCAAATCCAAACGCTTAAAACCCCAACAATTATCCAACTCCAACAACTCCAACCACGGGCTCCCAAAAACAACTTTCCTCACCATATCATCACAAAATTCGATCGACCCAATTCTTAATTCCCTCAAAGAATCCCATCTGAAAACCTCAACTTTATCAAACTTACAACCAACCCAATTCACTTTTTCAATATAAGGGTTTGAAAATAATCTCTTAGGCAACTTATACAGATCCTCAGCATCACTGGAGAGAATCAAGTTGAGCTCTTTGACTTTATGGGTGATGGCGAAAAGGACCCAGACAGTAACATCGGATGAGAAACAACGTTTGAAGGGGAAATCAAGGTGGAGTTTTGTTATGCTGCTGTGGTTACAGTGCAAGTTTATAAGTGATTTGTCAACAAAAGAAGCGAATTTTTTTAAGGAGATGAAATCTTTGGGACGGTGAATGAAATTGAGGGAGGTGGAGAAGGACCAGAGAGGTTTCCATTGCTTGCAGAGGAGGGTGGTGCGAACGACGTCGTCGAAGGGGAGAAAGGAGAGAATGTGAAGCAGAACTGAGTCCGGCAACGAAGAGAATCGGTCTGAAGCTACACCCATTTNTTTTGTGTGAATTTCAGAAATTGGTTCCCTAATTTTTTTGAAATAAAATTCATACTATATAAAACTATAGTCAACGCAAGATTATTTTGCAGGACTTATAGCCTATTGACAATTGGAATCAAACGAGTTCAAATAGTAGGTGGTGAGAATTCATAGAATTGCCTTCAATTATATGAGTGTTATGAAATAAAGACAGTAAAGTAAAGATAAGTATAGAGAGAAACTGATATATTATTCAAACTTCAAACATATGTACATAATGATCTGAATTCTCCTCTATTTATAAAAAAAAGGAAGCTGATGTGTAAGCTGCTACTGCAAGCTGCTTGTAAATTGTTGTTGCAAGCTGCTGTGTAAGCTGCTTGTAAGCTGCTGCTTTAAGCTGTTGTACCAGATATAGATAATCTTCTACCATGGGTAATATTTATCCATAACGGAGTACGGAAAGGATAAACTTCTTCAGGAGGCTTATTTCCAATAGAGTACTAAATAGATAAACATATTTACGGCGGAGCCTCATATGGATAAGCTTCTTCAGGAAGTTTATTTACAACGGAGTACTAAATGAACATCCATAATATAATATATTTATAATACTCCCTCTTGGATATTTATTAAAAGATAATGTGCCTCATTAAAACCTTACTAGGAAAAAACCCTGTGGGAAAAAATCTTAGTGAAGGAAAAAGAGTACACATATTTAGTAATACGCATTGCTAGCTGCCTCATTAAAAACCTTATAAGGAAAACCCTGTGGGAAAAAAATCTTAGTAAGGAAAAAAGAGTATATAGCGTATTTTACTCCCCCTGATGAAAACCTTGTTTCAAATATTTAAGTCTCTGTATTTCAATTTTGTATACCATCTTCTCAAAAGTTGAAGTTGGTAAAGATTTAGTGAATAAATCTGCCGAATTGTCAATTGAACGGATTTGTTGCAAATCAATGTCACCATTTTTCTGAAGATCGTGTGTGTAGAATAATTTTGGTGAAATGTGCTTCGTTCTATCTCCTTTTATAAATCCCCCCTTCAATTGGGCTATGCATGCAGCATTATCTTCGTATAAAATTGTGGGTCTTTTCTCACATTCCAAACCACATTTTTCTCGAATAAAATGAATTATTGATTTCAACCATACGCATTCCCTAATTGCTTCATGAATAGCTATTATTTCAGCATGATTTGAAGAAGTAGCAACAATAGATTGTTTTGTGGAGCGCATAGTACCTCCACATGGAAAAACGTACCCAGTTTGAGATCTAGCTTTATGGGGATCAGATAAATAACCTGCATCTGCATAACCAACAAGATCTGCACTATCTTTGTTAGCATAAAACAAACCCATATCAAGAGTTCCCTTTAAATATCGCAATATATGCTTAATCCCGTTNNATCCTCTTCTGGAGGTCGGAATAAATTTTTATTCTCTTCAAGTGATCGAACAACCATTGGTGTACTTAATGGGTGCGCTTTGTCTATGTAAAAGCGTTTTAAGACCCTTTCTGTATAGGCAGATTGATGGATAAAGATCTAGTTTGCTAAATATTCAATTTGCAGACCAAGCCAAAGTTTTGTCTTTCCAAGATCTTTCATCTCAAATTCTTTCTTAAGATATTCAATTGCCTTTTAGAGTTCTTCTGAAGTTCCAACAAGATTTATGTCATCAACATAAACAGCAAGTATAACAAATTCTGAAGCCATTTTCTTTATAAAAATACATGGACAAATGACATCATTTATGTAACCCTCTTTCAGCAAATATTCACTGAGGCGATTGTACCACATGTGCCCAGATTGCTTTAAACCGTACAAAGATCTTTGTAATCTGATTGAGTACATTTCCCGAGATTTTGAATATGCTTCAGGCATTTTAAATCCTTCAGAGATTTTCATGTAAATTTCATTATCAAGTGACCCGTACAGATAGGCTGTAACCACATCCGTTAGATGTATTTCAAGCCTTTCACGTAAGCCTAAACTGATGAGATATCGAAATATTATGGCATCCATAACTGGTAAATATGTTTCTTCATAATCGATTCCAGGTCGTTGTGAGAATCCTTGTGCAACAAGGCGAGCCTTGTATCTTTCAACTTCATTTTTATCATTCCTTTTTCGCACAAAAACCCATTTATGACCAACTGGTTTTATACCAGCAGGTGTTTGGACTACTGGTCCAAAGACCTCTCTTTTAGCAAGTGACTTCAATTCCGATTGAATTGACTCTTGTCATTTTAGCCAATCAGATCTTTGTCGACATTCTTCGATCGATCGGGGTTCAAGATTCTCACTATCTTGCATAATGTTAAGTGCAACATTATATGCAAAAATATTATCCACCACTATTTCAGATCGATTTAAATTAATCCCATCACCGTTCGAACTNCTCACTTGAGTCTCGGGTTCATTGATTTCTTCAGGAATCTCAGAACTAATCAGATCTTGTGTCTCTTCAGGAGATCCCTTCATAATATCATTTTGATCATTTGTCGATTTTCTTTTTCTAGGATTTCGATCCTTAGAACCCAAAGGTTTACCATACTTCAGGTGTGCTTTAGGTTTACTAGCTCTCATGCTAGTAGATGGTCCTGCTGGGATATCAATTCGGATAGGCACATTCTCTGCAGGGATATGCGACTTAGTTATCCTTTTCAAATCAGT